GTTAATCTGACTTGTATTTTAAAAGGATTACTCTGAAGAAGAACTATGTGAGGGAAGGTCACAACACTGTGAAGGCATGGAGATCAGCAGTGCTGGAGGCCACTACAGAACAGGCAATGATGAAAGCTTGAACTCAAGTTTTAACAGTGAGAGTTGTGAGTAGTAGCCGAACTCAGCTGAACACATGCTGGAGAAAAAGCCTGAAAAGTTGTGTACAGGGTGTAAGGAAAATAAAGTAATAAAAATCCCCAAATCCTAGATTTTTGACCTGTACCAAGGGTTGTGTGGTAAGGACATTTAGTAAGACAGCAAAACCTTATTGGAGAGCCAATATTATGAGTAGGGGGTAAACACTTCCATTTTCCATGACTAGTATGGCTAGTTGACATGCAAGTGGAGATGTCATATAGGTAGTTAGGTACAAGAGTTTGCCATTCAGAAAGGAGACTGGGGCTATAGATTTAAAAGTGAGAGTCTTTAGCTCATAAATTCCACTGGAATGGGTGAATTCTCTAGAGAGACACTACAAAGAATCCAAGAGAAATAAGAATGGGGCCTATGACATATTAAAATTTACAGTCCTGATGGAATTGCAGACAGCAAGTTACTCAAGATGTAGCATGAGGTGGCAGTAAAAGAAAGGGACTGTGAGTCACAGAAACCTAAAGATACATTGTTTCAAGAAGGATAGAGAGGTCAACAATGACAAATACTACCAAATGCAAGACATCAAATAAATAAGGATAAAGAGATCTGGATCAGAATTCTTTTTGCTGCAAGCTACAAGCACCCAACTGAGATTATCTTAAACAATATGGGGCTAGTTATTTAACATATTAATATGCCTAAACCCTGGGCTATTCTAGGGTTTCTTAATTCAAAGGATCAACAACACTACCAAGAACTAGATTTCTTCATCTTGTTTTTCTGCCATCCTGAGTGTGGACAAAGTCTTCTTAGGTGTTAGCAAGATGCCTATACATCTCCAAAACTTCATATAGACATAATCACATCCAAGAAAGGAGGTTTTTTTCTTCTATCCTTCTCTTGTAAGAAGTGCCCACATATGCCCCCACCAGAATTTTACTCAAAATCCACTAACCTTCATTGGTCTTAAATCAGAGTCTATGCCAGTCATTGTCAAGAAAAATAGAATTATTTATGCTTTTTTGCTTAGACCAATTATAATTCACATCCCAAGGACTGGGAAAGGGTTTGGTTATCTACCTTCATCACATGAGAAAAATGCCCAAATGTAATAAAAAAACTTAACTAAAATAAGAAGATGAAGACAAAAAAGAAAAAGGAAGGAGTGGAGAATAGGAAGAAAAAGAAGAGGAGGAGGTGAGGTACATGTGAAAAAAAAAGGGGGATGGAAATATCTTTGGTATAGATAATCAACAGTATCTGCTATCAGTTTTATAAAGACAATTTCAGTGGAGGTTGGGATTAAAAGTTCTATTAAAGCAATTGCAGAAAGAAAGGGAGATAAAGAACACATGACAGTAAATATAGCCAATATTTTTAAAAGGTTTTTATACACCAGAGAAAACAAACACAATAGTTTCCAAAGAAGGATATAGAGTCAAAGAAGTTCGGGGTTGGTTTCAGATTTGTTTTAGGACAGGTGACTTGTGGCATTTTGTATGTCAATATGAATGATCCTAAAATGGGAAAAATTTTGATGTATGAAATATACATGGGCCAACTCCTTGTGAAAAAGAATTGGAGGGGTGCCTGGGTGGCTTAGTCGGTTAAGCGTCAGACTTTCGCTTAGGTCATGATCTCGCGGTTCGTGGGTTCGAGCCCCACGTCGGGCTCTGTGCTGACTGCCAGCTCAGAGCCTGGAGCCTGTTTCAGTCTGTGACTCCCTCTCTCTCTGCTCGCGCTGTCTCTCTCTCTCCTAGAAATAAATAAAATATTAAAAAAAAAAAAAAAGAATTGGAAAGGAATCTAAGACATTAACAGTAACAAAAATAAACTTAATCTTATAATAGGATGGGTAATCCAGTAGTTGGGTACAAATGCTGAAAAGGTGATTTAACTGTTAAAAGATAAGTTAGGGCACATCCAATAGTATCTGGTTTTTCTACAAAGTAGGCTTCACTGGTATAAGAGAGTAGACAGATGTAAAGGGGATGCTTGAAAGCTGGGGAGAGAGGATAAGAATTAAGAGTCTCTGAGAGTGAGGAAGTGTATTGATCAGAGAAGTATTATGGGGCAGGAAGGCAGAGTGCTATTTGTTGTACCCTGTACAAAGTGCTTTCCACGGGGCCTAGCACTTAGGAAGCATTCGGTAGGTATTAGCAGTTAGTACTATCTGTATTTGTATGTAGTATGTATTTATTGTATTATTTTTCAATGATGGTAAATGCTCTGATTCACTTAATATCATGTTCACATGACAGACATTGTTCTAAGCCCTTCTTTAAAAAAACAATTTGCATTTAATCCTCACAATGCCCTTATAAGGTAGGTACTATGCTTATGCCCATCTCATAGTTTAAGAGACAGAGAACAGCAAGTAAGTGATAGTGCCAAGCTTTGAACCGAGTCAGTCTGATTCCAGATACCTTGCTCTTCACCACCATTCTACGTGGTGATTCACAGAGGGATAAAAGGCCAGAAGATGAAGACATGGTTTGGTGGTGGCCATGAGAGCCAGAAGGAAGGGTAATGGATAATGAAGTCGATGATATGCACTCAAAGAATCTGGGGTTTTGAAAAAAGAAGGAGGAGAGACAGGCTGGAAGTGACAGCAGGGAGCAAGGCTTATGAGACACAGAAGCATTTCAAGCATTTCCGACCAAAAGGAAAACATGAAAAACAACTTCAAATTTGGGCAACCAGTGGGCTTGGCAGTTCCTTAGGGTTCTGTCCTTGTCATTGTATTTTTATCCCAGGGAGAGGAAGTTCTTGTGAAGTCCTTGCTCTCTATCCCAGCCTTGCTAAGAATCATACTAAGCTTACGAGTGAGGTTATCTTAACCAGATAAGACGATATCGCAGTAAATTTTATTTTTGGAGGGGAGGTTGGGGAGGTGGGATGGTTCTCAGACCAATACCCACATGAAAGTAGTTTTTAAAAAACAGAGAAAAACTCTCAAATTTAGAGACTCTTGTGCTATGCGAGAGATTGCAAATGATGAAATTAGGTATAAATTTTCAAACTCAATTTTCCATGACAGTTTTGAAAATAAATAAATAAATTGAATACTTTTCAAAAACAGTCAGTATAGATCAGGGGTCAGTCAGCAAAGTGCAGCCCATGGGCCAAATCCAGTCTACCACTTGTGTTTGTACGGCTTAAGAAATAAAAATGCTTATTACATGTTTAAATGTTAGGAAAAAGATCAAAAGATAAATAATATTTAGTGATATATAAATATTATACAAAATTCAAACTCTAAATGAAATAATTAAAATCTCATTACATGTCAGTATTAATAGATAAACATTTGCAAGCTATTTTGAGGATGTGGACATCAAACCCAATTACATGAAATGTTATGCCCTCTAAAAGAATTCGATTCTTCTCATTCCAACATAAAATGTGTACTCAATGATCATTATATTTTTAATTTCATCAGTGAAATATAGTGGAAATTTGTTTTCTCTCATGTTACAAAAGTACCTACAAAATCTTCTCAATTCTATCTCTTAGCCTAAAAAGTTTAAAAGTTTTATAATAGAAAAACTTTGTTGACTTTTGGTAATAGATAAAGGGTAGACAAAGTTTACCTTACTATAGGTATCACAGTATAAATATAGTCATTTGATCACATATTCCTTCAGCTAACAGACATTTATTGAGCACCAGAAACTATCTTGGTTGCTGAGGATACAAAGTTGAAAATATATGGCTTTTGCTCTCATGAAAATCACAGCCTTATTATTTCATTGTTGTGGGAATTCTGGTAGAATTTAAGAACAAAGGATTTCTATGAAATTCTCCTTTAAATGAATATACCCTCCACTTTCTCTCACTCAATCTTTAGGTTTTATTGGTTATTGAATTTTGTATTTCTATAAAACTGTTACGTGATTCACTATTTTTCAATCTAGGATAGAAAGTGGGAGTTAACAAATGTGACACCACTCCCCTATCTTTAAGTCCACTGGAATGTCTTGTGACCTTGCCTTCCTATGCTTAACCCCTATTATGTCATTTAATTTGTTGGGGTCCCAGCATGCCACTTGAATAAAGTCATCCAAGGTATGTGTCTCTGCCAAGTGGAACTAAGCATTGTTTATCATTGTTGCAATTGCATTGCTCATACATAGAATCAAAGCCATTTCCATATTTTTCAGTAGCTAAATCTTATCCTTTTCTTTCTAAATTGCCTCTGACATCAATAAGGCTACAGGATTTCAATGTGGGTTTAGGAGACTGAACAACCAATGAATAAGGGGCATTCTTATAGCATGCAATCATAACTTGTGCTTAGCTTTCATAACAAAATCTTGTCCAAAACCATCTCAAAGAAGCCAAAACCAATCCAAAACCACTTCCTAGGTCCATATTGCATAACAAGTGGATATGTTCTTTCCCACCACATGATGAAGGGCCCTACGTACCTAGATACCTAATCATGTGAATGGTGAAAGTATTTGTCTATTAGGTTTAGGCTACAAAAATTGTAAAATTTCTGGGTCCATGCTATTTATTAAATATTCTTCTATTCACATCCATTGCTATTCCTTCTTTGACTCCTGGGAAGAGTCTATTGCTTTCTCTCTTCCCTCATATCCTTACAAAACTCTGTGGGATTATGGAATGGGGAATTTAAGGCTTTCACTTAATACCCATAGATCAAGAAACAGAGGGAAAAATGAATGAATATTTAAGAGCTGCACTGATAGAAACAATGGAAATGGGGACATGGAGCTTTTTAACATTATATTATTTTTCTCATTTCCCAAGGAACTTATTTCCCTAAGCTCTGTCAATACTGCTGAGCTTATATGTCTGGGAAATAGCAAGGATTTGGGAATGCTTACTTGGCTCAGTAATCACATCTTTCCAAAAAGTCTTCTGTGGTAGCATTAGAGATTCTCTGAATTCTGGGTCCATGGGAAAGAAGCCTCCATTCCATTTCCTTGCCAATACGCAGAACTGGGAGGTCTCCATGCTGATGCCCCTGTACTTTGTACAGAGGGGGAGGGTTGCGCAATGCTGGAATGGCAAAGGATAAGAGAATGAATTAAAAGCTAAAGGGGACAGAAATTAGAGATTTTTTTTTATTAAAGTGAGAGAAAAATTAAGTGTGCATGGAAGGAAGTGTTGCATGTAAATACAATGACCAGTAGTCCAGATCATGCAAAGTGATTCTAAGTAGCTCCATAACCTGTTCCACCCCACCATCCAATCAAAAGAAGGATGTTTCTTCTTCATAATTGCTTATTATGGTCTCTACAACTGCCAGTATTATCAAAATTCTGTAAGGGCATAATAAAAGAGGTATGTAATTTAACTTAATGTAGCCAATCTGATGCCATGTTGGTAAGAAAGTAACATATAAAATTATTAATAGATGTCTGAGGGCTACACCCATCACCATAAAAGGAAGAGTCTTCAAATAATTCCACTTTGTGCATCCCACATCTCTGGGAAAACACCATCATTCTCTAGCCTTTATCAGAATCCTAAAAAATTATTTATCTCCCCCAAACAATGACATGAGAAATTGCTGAAGTGTGCAATTTCTATCTCCTAAATATCTCTCAAATCTGCCCCTTCCTTTGTATCTACATTACTACAACTTCCATCAAGGTCAACCCATCTCTCATCTAGATTTCTGCTATACACTAGGTGATCCTATTCGCTGACTGTCTTCGGAAACCTTTCTAATTTGTAGATCTGATCTTATCACCTTCTTGTATAACTTGCCTATGGGTTTCCCACAGCCCTCAGGATAAAGCTCATTCTCATCTCCATCTTTATAGCACATTTGTTTAGTGGCCTTTGCAGAACAAATCCCAGCATGGCTTTAGTGACATGCTCTGCTATCTTGACATTTCTTTCAATGTTTTATGCTGTTTCATGCCTTTGCATCTTTGGTGTAATACTGGATATTCTTGCCTATATGTCTCATGAAACTGTGTCCTCCATAAGCATAGGAACCATGTCTTCTTTATTGTGATAACCATGACATTTGACATAGTGTCTGGCACATGGTAGAATGGGACAAAAGACGGGTAACTTCTAAATCAAGTTAAAAATTCCAAAAGGAAGGATTGTTTACTGGCTGAGTACGGATATCACCGTGCTAAGGGTTTAGTTATCTTGACAGTTATAAGAAAATGTACGGGTCTCAAAAATGTGGGCCAAGGGGAGTAGGACAGGGTGAGTGACAGGCACCAGAGGCGGGGGGGAAATGCTTAAAAACAAACTATCTACTGCATAATTTTGCAGAAGGCTGGCCCTGAGGTAAAGCGTGGCTCAAAGGGAAATTGCTGCCCGACACAGGCGTAAAGAATACCAATTATTTCCCTCTTAAGTAGGGCCAGACCAACTCAACAGAAAACCAGAGAAGATGGGCATAGCATTCCTGGAAGGAACTGATGGTGCTGGTGCCATCAGCTGGGTTTCCTAAGCAGACACGATGCAGGAGCCACCCAGCTGAAGGCTGGTACACCACAGATGGGCATGCTTCTTGGAAAAGACCTGTGGCAATTAGGAATTCAAGCTTAGCCCCAACTTTTAAGATGAAGCCTTCTAATTTTCCTTTTCCCTCCCCTGAGCTTCTTCCAGGAAACCTGCCTTGTCCTCTGCTGTGGTTAGGAAAGATCAAATGTGCCTTTTACCGAAAGGCAGGGCCTCCGTCTCCTCCTTGCTCCTTCATGTGAACCCACATGCTCACATAGGAATGCTTCTGGGGATCTGACATGGAGCTACCTCCATTCTGTATCTATCTATGATCCTTCACAAAGAATGGGAGGTCACAAGGTCTCGTTGAAAGGCTAGACCAGATAAAGACATTTAATGATGACAGAATAATGTGACCATGAAAAACATTTTGAGTAGAATTCTTTTCTGATATGCATTTTAAGTGCAGACAACCTTTGGATACTTTTGTGCCATGCCTTCATAATTTTACTCATGCTAAGTAATTTTGTAGCCAAAAATGCTACAAGAATAATTAGGCAAAATAAAAAGAAGAAGGAAAACAAACAAACAAACAAAAAAGGCATGGGGGCGCCTGGGTGGCTTAGTCGGTTAAGCGTCCGACTTTCGCTTAGGTCATGATCTCGCGGTTCGTGGGTTTGAGCCCCGCGTTGGGCTCTGTGCTGACTGCCAGCTCAGAGCCTGGAGCTAATTTCAGAGTCTGTATCTCCCTCTCTCTCTGACCCTCCCCTGCTCAAGCTGTCTCTCTCTCTCTCCTAGAAAAAAAAAAAATTAAAAAAAATTAAAAAAAAAAAGGCATGGCCTATCCTACTAATTAAATAACAATTAGTTGTTGGAACAGGAAAAAGAAATTTGACCCAATCTTTTCTCTCCATATTCCAATAAAATTTCCAAACTTGTCAAGGCTTGTCCTGCTTCCCATGGACACACAGCATAACCTTCTAGTAGGTTTCTTCTACTCATCTACTTCCTTCATTCTGTCCAGTATTTTAACTCTCACACCATAGAATCATTCCCCTTCCACTTCTGTCCCTCTTGTCAGCTTGGGAACTTCTGGAAGATAGGAATTTATACCAGCTTTCTCAACTTGTCACCATTAGGTCACTCTTTTCTTCAAAATACTCCTTCCTGTGTGTCACTGCTGGACTGTAAGCTCATCATGGATAGGAATCATGGCTTATTTCAGTGCATAGAAGTCAATGAACATGTAAGTACTGATTGCTTGTCTAATGTGGCCAAAACAATGGTTAGCCACATACTGCCATGTCCAAAGTTTGCATGCAAAAACACTGTTGCTCTTTTCTGAAACCTTTATTTTTGTCACATTAAGTTAAATATTGCAGATGGAAGGATTTAACTATCTCAGCCTGTGAGAGGGCTATGAAGCTTCAGGTGTTGTTAGCACTTACCAGGATTTTGAACTTGAGGCATTATGTAGTGGTAATGATGATCTAGGTTATCTCTCACCCAAGACACATGTAGAAAAATATCCACAGAACTCAATCAGTGACCCCTTTGAGGCTAGAAAAGCTGGGTAGTCCTGGAAATGGAAGGACCATGAAGTCATGATGGAACAGTCATGAAGGGAAATGTACTGTATTTTATAAATCACAGGGTTCCTGACCCAAGGAAAAACTCAGTTTCTTTGACAATTCCACAGTATTTTTAGCCACTGAGTTGGTTAGTTCCTTGTCTGAATAATATTCTTCCTTTGTTTACTCAACTCCTGATTCTTCCTTCCTTCCTTCCTGCTGTGGAATGGTATGTTTACTGTGTATTGCTAAATCACTACCATATTTACTTGTGTTTTTACTGCCAAGACACTTACAAACCCTTTTTTCCCCCCAATCGGGAAGGAAAAAACCAAAACTTAAGAGAGAAAGAGAGACAGAGACAGAGACAGAGACAGATAGACAGACAGAAAGAAAGAAGGAAAGAAAAAAAGAAAGAAAAGAGGGAGGAAGGAAGGGGGAAATAAAGAGAGAAAGAGAAAAGAAAGAAAAGAAAAGAAAAGAAAAGAAAAAGAAAAAGGAAAAGAAAATCCTGACTTTTGCATGAGCAGAAATATTTCATTTTATTTACTACCACATTCTGAGCACTTTCGAGTTATCAGGTATCATTAAGCACTTAACATATATTATCTCATTTCCCATTGATCACACTGATAGCTAGATACCTGTTATTATCCTCAGTTTTATTTATGGGGAAATAAGCACAGAGAAGCATGGCCAACATCATCTGCTAATATACGTAAAGACAGAATTTGAACCCAGGTCAGTGAGACTTCCAACTTTAGCTCATAGCTATCAATCTTATATTATCTTGAAGTGTGTCTTCATTACATGTAACTCTCTCCAATTCTGACCATGTTCATCAATTTCAAAAACATCCCTTGTCTAAGAGAACTGAGTATCACACAAGACCACAGAAATCATAGGTTTCCTCATTTTTACTGATGATATAACAAAGACCTAAAGAATTTAAATGACCCACATAAGATGTCAAAGCTACTTTGTGCCATCTCAGATCAAAGCTAGGTTGTCAAAGCTACTTTGTGCCATCTCAGATCAAAGCTAGGTTTTCTTGTCTTTTTGTCTCTCTCTTACCCTGCCATGATTGCTTGTGCCCTTTATATCTTTATCATGGTTCTTCTGTTGAGCACTCTTTTTCTTCACTTAGGAAACTCTGTGTTTGGCAAAGGAGAATGAAACATCTCAGAGGGCTCTGTCCAAATATATCATTTGAAGCTATTATGCACACACTGGATACATTAAACCTTTTGGATGCTTAAGACATCTTGGTTATGAAAGATGATTATGTAAATGAAGATGTTAATTCACACTTTCTCACTTTATAAATTACCCCTAGGAATTCACTTGGCCGGTGGATGAGACAAAATACAAGCCACGCCAATGCTAGGCCAACTTCAAATTAGGTGTATTTGTTTTGGGTAACTTCCCATGTCCTCTCCACCCTTTCCCCACCTCGAAGCATTCATCTTCCGTGCGCATCTGTCACCTGCCCTTAGGCTGCCCAAGCACACACTGTACCAACTTCTCTTTTTCTTACCCCCATTACTCTCTATTCCCCTCTTCCCCAGCTCTCCTTCCCTAAGCTGAGTGATCTCCCTCAAGGTTTTCAGGGGCTCCATTCTTTTTCCTATGCTCTTTCCAGTCCTTTTACCTATATTCTGAGAGTATTTGTGACCTTCCAATACCTCCTTCAACCTACTCCCTACAGAAGAATTCCACCAGAATGGGGCATTGCAATAAGCGTGGGATCTTTCCAATACCTCTTTTCCATGACTACTACCTGATCAACACTCAGTTGCCTGAATACCATTCCTTCATGTCCTGCCCTTTCAGGTGGTTAACAAAATTAACTACTAATGTCACTATTAACATTAGTTAATAATTAATAACATTAATAATTTATTAATAGTAATTAATACTTTTGTTAGTAATAGTAATACTTTTGTTAATATTTATTATTATTAATTTCTTTAAATGAAATCAATAAACCAATCTCTGCCAATGTGTGAACTTCCTGATATGTTACCTCACATAGTAATAAAATCAAAAGCATATGTGAGAATCCAGAACACCTTCTAGGAATAACTACATTTAAAGACAGGGAGCAACACTCATTTCACTTTTTAAATAAAAATAAAGTTTAAATTATGTTTTAAAATTTTTTTGGAGAGAGAGAGTGCACATGTGCACATGCATGGCTGGGGCCAGGGTGTGTGGGGAGGGACAGAGGGAGGAACAGAAGGTAAGGAAGAGGGAGAATTCGAAGCAGGCTCCATTAACAATTTCACTCTACCTCATTTCTACTCAATTCTGAAATAACCAATGTTAAGAGTTTGGTGAGAATCCATCCATCCCTTTCTCTAAGATTAGAAAAATCATATTCAAAATAAATATGTATTTTCACAGAGATATAAACACAGAAATAAAATGTTTTAATTATGTTCCAATTATGAGATAATCTTATACATATGGATTTCTTCTTTGCTTTTATTTTTAGTAATACATCCCTTTGGTCTTTATATTAAGGAGTATTATAATTTAGTTAACTTTCTGCCTATTAATAAGATAATCAGGTTGTTTTCAGTTCAATTTCAACTACAAATAATAATATATGAAATATCATTGACTAGTTTTATATTTTAGTGGCTATTTTTATGTAGGATATATTTCTCAAAATGAGATTACCTAGGTCAAAGAATGCATACTTTATTTTTCTGGAAAAGATTGGTTAGAGCAATTCACACTTTCATGAACAATGCCTGAGAATGTCTGTTCCTTAACAGCTTTATAATATGATAAAGTTTTTTTGATAAAAATATTATATGAGTTACAAGCATAACATAGGTCTATGTGGGCTTATGTCTAAAATAGTGAAACATCTAAAGTGAAGGGATTGAGGTGGAAGGAAAAAGTCCATCTTTCAAGATGGACTTTCAAAAATAGCAGCAGGGGTGCCTGGCTGGCTCAGTAGGAAGAACATGCTACTCCCGGTCACAAGGCTCTGACTGAGTTCAAGCCCCATGTTGGGTGTGGGGCCTACTATATATTACTGTATATATAAATATACACATACATACATATATACATATATATATACACATACATATATACATACATATATATACATACATATATACATACATATACATAAAACACCATAATACTGATTCCTTTTTGGAGTGTGAAGGTAGAAAGGGTGATTTTAGATACGATGAATGTAGCTTTCAGGAGGGCAATAGAAAGAGGGAGGATATAGTGTTATTGCTAGGCAACCCTCAAGCAAATTGCTCTGATTTGATGTATGTAGATGAATCATTTAGCCAGTCCCTCATTTTTCCCATTCGTTGTCAAGCTGTGCAGCCAAGTTGTTCTCTGCAGTGGCTCAGAGTAGACATAAGAGGAAACAGAGTGTCTGTCTAATGACAGTGTCAATTCCATTGGGTGCCAACATAAGCTAACATTGACTGAGCGCTTGCAATGAACCAGTTGCTCTTGAAGCTAAGTTCAATTCCCTGGATATCACTACCCACTGTATCACAGACACGCCCAAACTTCCCAGGATGTCCAGTACATTTAAGCCACATAAATGCCTCAATGGTATGGATTATTGGGAGTCATGCTTGAGCCCATACTGCCTACATCCTAACTTTCTTTTCCCCATTCTCTTCTCAATCCCCTGCAACTGGCCCTCTGCCCACATTGCTCCACAGAAACTGCTGAAATGACAATCACTAGGTGCCTTCCATGTGGCCAATCCAGCAAGCAGCATTTTTTGTTTTCCCCTTGACATATGGTGTCTATATGCTTTTATGAACACAACTCTTACCTTTTGGTACACACAGTAAGACTCTTTCCTGGTTTCCTCCTAACACCACTGGTTTAGCCCAATCTCAATCATGGACTTCGTTTTCTCCATCATTACCCTCAAAGGTTTGAAACTTGCAGCTTTTTCCCTTCCCTGGAAAATCCAATCTATATTCATGGAATCAGATACAATTCATTTGCTGCCAATACACGAGGCTAAATCCTTACGTCTGAATCACTTCTGAGAACCATATCCTTATATCCAGCTACCTAACATAGCACCAAATAAACTCATCCATGATTAAAATAAAACTTTTTTTTCTTTAAACAAGCTTGTTTTTCCTCCATATTCTCTGCATATCATGACTATCCAGCTAGTACTCACTTTAAAATTTAAGGATATCATTCTCAACATCTCTTTCTCAATCAGTTCCAAGAATGGTAGCAATCATTTATTGAGTTTTGATGTGGGGCTATGCTTTTTTTCATTCTTTGATCCATTTCATTGAAAAGGGCCCCACAAAATAAATAGTATAGTCCCAACTCCACTGATGACAGAACTAAGGCTTAGATGAAGCAACTTGACCAACATCTTGCTGATAGTACAAGGCGGTGATGGGATTTAAAAAAGTTCACTTCTTACCCAAGTTCCATTTCTGATTGTAATTATAAAGCTGTGATGTTTAATTTTAGATGGCAACTTACAGGGCCACGGAGTGCCCAGATATTTGGTTTAACATTATTCTAGGTATGTCTGTGGGGTTATTTCTGGATGAGATTAACATTTGAATAAGACAACTGAATAAAGCAGATGGTCCTCCCCAATGTGGGAGGGCCACCTCCAATCTATTAGAGACCTGAATAGAACACAAGTGGGGTAAGGGAAAATTTGCTCTCTCTGACTTTCAAGTGAGAACATAGGTCTTCTCCTACATTCAAATTGGAACTTACACAATGAGTTCTCCTGGTTTTCAGGCCTCCAGACTCAGACTAGCGTGACACCACCCATTCTCTTGAGTCTCCCACTTGTAAACAGTAGACCACGGGACTTCTCAGCCTCCATAATTGTATGAGCTAATTCTTTATAATGAATATGATAATATATACCTATATACCACTGGCTCTGCTTCTCTGGAGAACATATATACAGTCAACATATATAGAATTACTATATTTGAAGCACTGGATACCAAGAACTTTTCAG